GTCCATTCTGAATGGAGGGCTAAAATTGCCCCAATCAGAATGTCACGTCTTTATACAATAACCATAATTTTGATGGTTCCTCATTGTTCAGCAAGGATGCAGCATTCATGTGCAAGGATTAATCCCCAATTTACCGAGGGAAAAAACAAACCTCATGCTGGATTCCAGTATGGGACTGACGGATGTATGACAGGAATCACGTGCATAACCTACTATTTTTATTTTGACAAGGGAATGCGAATCCTACCCCTGAACTACCCTAAAAAAAAAACAAAGACGATCATATAAATGGTTTAAGAGGTCATAACCATTTTCTTTATTCTTTTCTTTTTTTGCTTTGGAAAATTTGTTCTCTCAGAGACCAGCAAGTGAGCGGCCATCCATTCTCTGTTTGAAAAGAAAATATATATATTTTGGTCACTATTTAAAAATAGAAAAAATGACTTATACCCCCTAAAATCTCCTTGTACAAACTTTAAGACGATTAGTTCCCGAATTACATTTTGTTGTTCTTTTCAAAAATCATCCTTTTGTTTTACTAAATGACAAGTGCATCCATTAGTCATCAATAATATATGGGTGCAGTTGGCATTCAGATGCATCCGGTAGAGATAAGGTGCACCTTCAAATTTTATCATAATATATAATTTTGATGTAAAATTTTCTTAGGAATATTTCAAAATCTATTTTTATATCTAATTATAAAATTTTAAATTTCAAAAATTATTAAAATCCAGTAGATCTATAAACATATGAAAATCTTGAAAATGGACGGTGTAGATAATATGTTGTAAATTTTTGAGACTTAAAATCTTCTTATTTTTCATGGTCATACATCTCGATGTCGAGATGATCAATCAAAGGGTTTTTCCATTTTTGATGGATTTTTGAGGTGCATCTATAGTTCTACATTATAAGGTTGCATCCATATATAAAAAGTTTCCATAATATATATATTTTTTACTTCATATACAAATTTTAATAATAACGACAACAAGAAGAACAACAACAATAATATATTAATTATTAAATAGTTCATCTCTTATAGATATTTTGATAAATTTTTTAATAAATGAACAAATAATAATAGATATCCATTAACAATTAATAAGGATCTTGATTTATTATTTTGCAAGTTCAAAAAATATTCATGCAATTGTAAAATAGGCCATAATATAAAAGAAAAATTTGTTTTTTTTCACGTCTAAATTTGTAGAGTAGGATCCACTGGGTAAGACTGGTTTTGGACAACGTAAGAGAAAGGGAAGGGAGCTGATTAATGGATGTGCTGGGCATTTTTTAAAATAAAAAGACTAAACTTGTGAAACGAACAAAGGGAATATAATGGGGGCTAACCGTCTCAAAGTTTCAAAGTTTTAAACTTGGGGGGTACAAGGGATTTTGGTGAACCTAGACATCTAGTAGGAATAAAAATTACAATGAGGGGATATCAGTCATTTTCCCTTAGTTGAAGTTAAATTTCAATAAATTTGAAAATGGGGTTGGAGTCGTGTTGGTAGCCCCTATTAAAGTCTAGGCTTCCAATCTCATCCAAGGCATTAAAAAACCACTAACAATTAAAAAAACAGGTAGGGGCTCCTCATTTCCACTACATTACCCAAAAAAATTGTGATCCTTGTAAAATAGTGATCTATCGAATATTTAGGGGTGCTTGATTGGACCAATTTGAATTGTGATTTGTTAGTGTGTTGTATGTTGTAGTGCTAGGAGCCATAGTGCAGGCGGTAGCGGTGACAGAAGCAATGTGATGATGGTAAGTCAGGTGGGGTTGGACCCTTGTGTGGTGGTAGGGCTGGCAATGGCCCGGCCAGTTTGGCCCCAATGCCCATGGGGTTGGTGTAGGTGTAGGTGTAGGTGTAGGTATAGGCGCAGCCCTAGCCTATGAGGCCCAGGCCAAGTCAAATAAAATCACCTAAAAAATAAAAATAAAAAATGCTAAGAAAATAAGACTGGATCGGGCCAAACCGGGATATGTCATGGCCCGGGCCGACCGTCTGGCCACATTATGTGGTGTAGTAGACCCTGGAATTTTAGGGCCATGCTGATCAGGTTAAGCTGGGCCACTTGGCCCATTACTACCCCTATGTGGTGGTGGTGGTAGTGGAGTAGGGTGGTGGTAGTGTTGGTCGTGGAGCAAGTGATGGGGTGGGGGAATCGGTGTTGACTAGGTAGTGGAGGCATGTCGTGGTCATGTTGTTGGTGGTGGCTGCCACAATTACATTAGTGTGAGCGCCCTATCATTGCTAGCAAACAATATATATTTGAAAATCAGACAACTCTTTAGGTCCAATTGCAAACGGAGGCCAAACAGTCAAATGCCAATTTGGCCTAAAACCAAATGGTGCCCTAAAAATTTAAACTTACTCTTTTTGAAAGACGGATATTAGAAAAACAACAAAAAGAACAAGGAAAATTCCAAAACTTGTACTCCTGTTGTTATTCTCTGCAAGTGATACGAATAGATATAAGCATTCTACCTCACAAATAAACAAATTTCTTATAATATTTGCAAGTTATAGAAAAATCAATAATAAAAAATCAGTGATGGACGATTAAAGAGAAGCACATGGGAATGGTTAATAAAATTCCAAAGCAAAACCGCCAACTCCATTCAAGTAAAACATGCCATCTATCAGTGTTTTGAAAATCAGATAGGTGGGTTTAATAGGTCGCTCACCAGTTCCGAGCCGGATTGGCAGACTAAATGAATTTAGTAAAGAAAAAAGGATTTTACATGTTTGGGCTTGGAATCTATTTGTGTTAATTTGAATCTAAATTCACTCAAAAAATGAAGTTTTTACATTTTAAATCTCATTTTTTTAGGGTGAATCAGTCCGAGTGACCAAGACTGGTTCCAAAGCGGCTCCCAAATTGGGGACCAAGACCGCTCCTCACCGGTTTTAAAGCGGCTCCAAATTTTCGAAAAACTTCCCACCTATAGTAAAAATAAGGAAAAAGTCTATATAAGGTTGCAACTTTTTTCAAAGAAATAACGTTGCAGTAATCTACAAAGTCCACTTTGTTTATAGAAATAACGTTGCAGTAGTCTATACAGTCTATTTTACTAGAATATTGTATATTAGAAACTATTTTAAAAAACGTGTCATATATTGACACAATGTCAAAAAAATATGTCTAATCTACACCACGCAAAACAGACCGTGTAGAATAAGGTAACCTTATTTCTACAATCAAGATTGAAATTTATACAAACCACACCTCAAAAACAAATGTATGTTGTATACACGGGACTATATATAGTCCGCATGTGGCAGAATAGTAGCCCAAGCGGTACGGGAAGACAATCCCCAACATAGATAACAACGAAGGGTTGATACGAACCATTCCATACCTCTAAGTGCAAAACACTATGCCGAAACTTGGGTGATAAATGTAAACCACACATCTTTGGGTACTAATGGCCTGGATCAAATTGTAAACAATTCTGTACAATGGGATCAATGCATGAAATAGGGGAAAATATTACTAAAAGGGCTGAAACCCTTCGAAAAATCATTAAAGATCTCAAAGTGCCCCAGTTAACAGTTGAAGGCGTACTTTTTCTTTTTTTCATTTCACTTGATACTTCAAAAAAGAGAAAAATAAAAATCCTCAAATCGCCCTTGTCCCACATTTGGAATACAAAATAACGATGGCTATTTTAGTAATTTAATCTCTAAGAGGCCTCATTTAAATAATGAAAA